TCGCTGGGTTGACCCAAAAAGAAAAAAAAGAAAGTCAGCGAGTCCCCTCACCTTCGAGCACTGGGTGGGACCCGCAGGCTACAGGAGGAAGCTAGGCCGAGCCAACGCCAGGTGCAGTGTCATATCAACCCTTTCTGCCTCGCAGCTAACAGAGGTGGTTAAAAACTGACCCGCGGCGCCTGCCAGTCCCTCCCAGCCAGCACCTGTCTCCACATTGGGACAACAACTGAGCCCCTGGGGGAGAAGCAGCCAACGACTCAGGGGCGGGGGGCGGGGGGGAGGGGCTCCCAGTGACTGTCGAGTCAGCATGTGGAGCTGAGGGGCTGAGCCAGGCACTGGCAGTGCCCCTGGGCACCACACTGCCGGGAGCCCATCTGAAAAGGCGGTCTCGGCCACCACCCCGTGTCCATTTGTCTGCAGCCAGGCCTCAGCCCCGCATCCGTCTGTCTGCAGCCTGGCCTGAGCCCCATGTCTGTCTGTCTGCACCCCGGCCTGAGCACCACGTCCGTCTGTCTGCAGCCTAGCCTGAGCCCTGTCTGTCTGCTGTCGTGCCCCATGAGTACTGTGGGTTTCCTCCCGACTGGGACTTAACCACAGGGACTCCCACAGGGCCCCACTGGGTTAGGACAGTTCCTTGCCACCCAGCACAGGCCTCCTGAATACCAGGCCAGGTGGACACAGCAGGGAGGGCCGGGGGTGGCTTGGCTCCACTGAGCTCCCCCCCCAGCCCTCCCGGTGAGGCCGCGCTAGGACTGGGCACCCGTTGGTTTCTGCTTCTCACAGCCCTGGAAGGCCAGGAGTGCCCCACCCGAGGGAGCCCCCAGCTCCGGGCACGGCCTCACCTCTTCTCCTCCTCCAGCTGGTTCAGCAGCTCCACCTTCTCCCAGTCGGCCGCTTCCAGCATGGCCAGCAGCTCGTCGTTCTTGGCCTCCAGCTCCAGGACGTGCTGTAGAGGCAACGGCGCGTGAGTGGCCTCGCCCGCCCCCAACAGCCCTCTGGGGGCTGGCACCACCACCTGTCACCACGGCAAGCTGAATGCATCTCCCACCTAACTACGACGTTTCTGGAAGGCCAGAGGGGAACCACACCACGCAAGCACCAGCGCGGACAACTCGGCACTCCCTAAACCCCCACAGGGCGAGCAGAAGGCGCATGCGATCAAACCACGCGCCGGACGCCACCGCAACGACGGCACACGGGGACCCACGGCCTCTGCCTGCACCGCCTGCACCAAACTCGCGCCCAGCCTCTACCGCAGGCGTCTCTCGGCCCCGGCACTGCCGTCTGCACAGACGTCACCTGGTCGTGCCCGTTCCGGCCAGGGCCAGCTCCTGCTCTATCTCCCCCATGTGGCTCGTGGCCTTGGCCACCTCCGCCCGCTCTAGGTCCCGCTCGGCCAGCAGCTTCTCAATGTGCTGCTGCTTCTCCTTCAGCGCCTCCTGGAGGGCGGTGGTGCCAGAGATCTTGTGGGCGTAGCGGGAGGAGGTTTCCGGCAACTGCAAAGGAAAAAGAGACGTGAAGGGGATGGGGCCGGCCGACACGGGCATGCTCGCGGTGATCCTCGGCAAAGCACATGGAGCAGTGCTGCATCCTTGCATATGGGCCAGCGACTCTCAGCAGAAACGTCTTGAAACCTTCCCGAAGATCCTTGGACGGGACCTGGAATCCACTGACCTCGGGCCTCGTGGGAATCCGGAGACTCTTCTGCAGAGCCCGAGGCAGCCCCCTCCACAGCCTGCTCTGGCCTGAGCTTCCTTAAGGATGAGCCCTTGGCTTGAACTTGAGGCCAGCTCCAGCATCTTCAGCCTTGCAGGTCCGTCAGGGTCTCCCTGGGCAGCCTGTCCCTTCTCTCTTCCTCTTCCTTCCAGCTCACCTCGCTCTCCCGGGCACCCGACCCATGCCTGAATAGCAGTAACCAGAGACTCTTGTCTCTGGGAATGGCCCCGTGCCCCCAGGGGTCACTGGGTGTGACCCTATAAAAGACCCCTGTGCCATCTGCCTTCGAAAATGGGGGATGAGAGGCTAGAATGATAAAGTTGCGGGAAAGGCGCTGGCCTTGCACGCCGCTGACCCGAGCTGGATAACAGGTACCCACCCCATAGGGTCCCGAGCCCACCAGGAGTGACTCCTGAGTGCAGAGTACAGAGTAAGTCCTGAGTATTGCTGGGGAATAACCAAAGTCCAGGAAAAATAAAAGGAAAAAGTGGTGGGTTCGAATGTGTGAGGGCTCACACCCAGCGAGCAGGACAGCAAGGGCAGCTCAGGGAAAGACCAAGCACAAAGGGAAGGAGAGAAGAGGCAAAGACAGTGAGGAGGGGAGGGGAGTGGGCTGAAGGGCTGCGGGGACCGGGGGTCCTGTCCGTTCTATCCTGGGCTCGTGGTCACTCATGGTCGCTCTGCAGACCCAGATCCCTCTCTGCACAAGGGCCCCTGCAGGACGGGACAAGGCGGGACCTGATCTTCATTCTTCGGGCACATGGTGGCGGGGGCTGCAGCGGCGATGGCCAGGACTTCCGCTCCTTCTGCCCGGCCATCCCTGTTCCATCGGCCTGCTGCGGTCCAGCCGCAGGTTCTCTTGCCGCTTCCCCGCATCATCTGAGCTGCTGCCAAACGCCTCCTGACCGACGGGCCCAGCAGGGCCCAGTCTGTCCTCTTCTGCTTTGCCTGCTGGGAGCTCACGAGCCACCTGGTTCTGCCCGAACAGCGGGATCATCCTTGCCTGTGCGTAAGGACCTGGCCGTGATTTCCCGATACACTTAAAGAATATCTGGTCCGATTAAATGCCCTCCCCAGGGCCAAAGAGTCTGTTGGGGGGGGTGGAAGGTGCTTGCAGAGGTTCAAGATCCAGCACCATCAGGAGTGACCCCACCCCCCAAACAGAGGGCCAGGAATAAACCCTGAGCACCCCTGGGTGTGGCCCCAAAACCAAATAATAACTAATATTTCTAGGAGCACACGAGCTCTCAGGCCAGCCATGTGCAGTGCTCTCGGGAACTGCAGTCAACTCAGATTTCAAGGGGTGGCTGGGAAGAGCTTGCCAGCCTTGGGGGTCTAACACCAAGACCCGGGCTCAACCCACCTCCACCGGGAGCAGTCCCCAAGCACCACGCCTGGAGTCCCTAAGCACTGCCAGGTGAACCCCAAAGAGCAAAAATAAAAACTAAGAAATGCGGGCGGCGGTGTTCCCTGAGCCTCCTGGCTTGAGCAGGTGGGGCAGGCCAGACACACGCGCTTCCTGGGCCTGAGACAGCTCCCTGAGGAAACCAGCACAGGAGCGATGGGCTTCTTTCAGCCAACTATGGAGACGAGACTGTGAGGTTCAGGCGCCGGAGCAGGGAGAAAGCAGCACCCCTAGCATGGGGGGAGGCGCGTGCTGAGGGGCTGGGTAACGTCGGGGCCACGAGCTGAACTCAGGATGCTGATGCCAAAGCCTCTGCCCTGCGCGTGGTTTGTGAGGCCCCAGTCTCCATCCCAGCAAGGCCAGGCCTTCTGTGGGAGCCTGGTACCTCAGAAGAGCAACTCAGCCAACAGACGAACAGGGAGGCCTCCACAGGGCACGCACGGACCCGTGTGCATGTATGTATGCGTGCATGTATGTTCCGGTGGGCATATCTACACGCACCTGTGTGCATGCGCGCGTTGTGTTTATGCATGTATGTGCCTGTGTGTGTATACCCATAAGCCTGTGTATATACGGTATGCACTACGTGTACATGTATGAGTGACTGTGTGTATGAACGCTTGTGTGTGCACTTATGGAATTATGTTGTCGAGGTATACTTTCGTGAAGTCACACAGAATCTTTCTATATTCCTGTCATAGACGCTAACGGTGATGTTCAGTTTAGGAGTGAGCTCCACCCTGCATAAAGATATGCAAGGCAGGGGGCAAAGAGCTGGAGAGCGAAGCCCCAGCGCTGCCCAGGCTCAATCCCAGAGGCCCGCCAGGAATAATCCCGAGCACAGAGGTGGGAGAAAACCCTGAGCTCTGCCAAGTGTGACCCCAAAAGAGAACAAAACAAGACAGCGGGGGGAGGCTGGAGATACGGCTCAGGCAGAGGGGTCTTGCTTGGAGGTGGGAGGCCCCGGCACAAGCCCAGCACTGCAACCGGCCCCTTGAAGCACTGTAGGGTATGGCCCACAGTCAAGCAGAAAAACAAAACCAAATTCCACAAATGGGCTGGCTCGCGAGGGAAGGAGAGGGGCTTCTGAGTCTGCTCTCCTCCTAAATGGTGAGGCGAAGGGAAGGAGGAGTCGGACGTGAGGATGCAGGTGGGGCAGGGAAACCTGGTGGTGGTCGAACAAGACAGGACTGGCCCCAGGCCTGTGCCCACGGCGCGTGGCCTCCTGGCTCCCGTTCCCGTGTCATCTGTTTTGTATCTTCCGTTGCACACACACTCACTCCCTCCTCTTCCGCATCGAGGGTCAATGCACGGAGCAGAGGCGGCGGCAGGAAGCGCAGCCCCCAGCAAAGCCAGCCCCCCGGGACACCCTCTCCATCGTGGGCCCGTTTCCCTGTGGACAATATCTCAGGGCACCCTTGCATATTCAGACACACTTTAGTGTTTATGACTCAGATAGACGTGAGGGGAGAAGCCACGAGTCCCCAGCTTTGACTTGCGGCCCCACAATGGACAGAAGTCGAGGCCACTCTGCATGTGGACAGCGGTGCAGAGGGACAGGAGGGAGCAGGGAGAGATGGAGAGAGCAAAGAAGCAAAATGAAGGGCCAAGCGTTCCCCAGAGTCTCTGGGCCCTGCTCTGACCCTCAGGCGCCCCCTTCAGCTACTGCACTTCATCCCTAAGGTGGCCTGAGGCCAGAGAGGAGCCCTGAGCACCCCAGGAAAGGCCCATCCCTGCTCCTGTCACTGGTGGTGGCTGGGAAGCCACTCGCCTGACACCCGGAGCTGCTCAGCCCACGTGCTCCTGCTCCGCCTCTCGCCCCTGGGGCTGTGGGAGTCTGTGGGGGCCCAGCACCCCGCAGTGGTGGGGGGCTGCTTACTAGTCCCGTGCGGCCGGAACTGCTGCTCTCGAATGAGGCCCCGGAGCTGACGGAGCTGAACGAGGAGGCCAAAGGGCTGCGCTTCAGGCTGGCGGGGGTGGTAGCCATCACACGCCTCACGGCAGCCACCTTGCCCTTGGCCGGCGTCGTGGACTGGATGCCAATCTTGGTGACTTTGTGAATGGGAGCAAACAAGCCATACTTGGGCTGACACTGGAAGTACCTGTGGAAAACGAGGAGGGGGGGACAAAAACACCTTCGGCAAGAGACACAAGCGCCGACCCAGAAGTCCACTGAGTCCCACAGTCTCACACCCCCACAAACGAACACGCTCCCACAGCCCCACATGCCCACACACTCACACCCCAACAAACACACTCACACACGCACCCCAAACAACACTCCCACACTCTCACACTCCCACCCCAACAAACACACTCACACTCACACCTCAACCAACACTCCCACATTTCCACAGCGCCACACTCACACTCACTCCCCAACAAACATCATACCCTCCACCAGCCCACACTCACACACACTCACAACCTAACAAACACACACACACCCCAACCAACACTGCCACACATAAACACCACAACCAACACACACTTACACTCACACCCCAACCAACACTCCCACACTTCCACACTCTCACAGCCCAACAAACACACTCACACCCCAACCAACACTCCCATACTCTCACACTCCCACCCCATCAAACACACACACTCACACCCCAACAGACACTCCCACATGTCCACAGCCCCACACTCACACACACTCACTCCCCAGAAACACACATACTCACACCCAAACCAACACACACTCACACTCGCACCCCACCGACACTCCCACACCCACACACACTCACACCCCAACCAACACTTCCACACACCCACAGCCCCACAGTAACACACACGCACACCCCAACCAACACTTGCACGCTCTCAAACCAACACTGACACGCTCTCATTCTCCCACAAACACGCTCACACCCCCACCAACACTCTCATGCCCACGCCCCCACCAACACTCTCATGCCCATGTCCCCACCAACACTCTCACAGCCCCACACTCACACGCTCACATACACACTCCCTCATACATTCACACCCACACTCGCTCGCATGCCGCCCACCCCCACCACGCAAACCAAGGGCGATTCCAAGCAGCCTCCCCGGCATCTGAAGGGTGACAGCAGGCCCGGGGGGTTCCTGCGGCCCGAGCACAGCTGCATATGGGGGCCCCAGGCTGTAACCACATCCCTGCAGGGTCCCCGAGTGCCACCGGAAGTGGCCCCGCCTAAGAACCAAGTGAAGTGGCCTGCAGTCCCCTCAGCGCCTCCCGGGCACCGTGCATGGACCCAGGCTGTCTGGGGGGCAGGGGGACCCACCTCCTTCCGGCCACGGCACCATCTTTCTTGCCCAGTGGCTTGTCCAGCTCTACGCCGCACCAATCCCCCTTGGCGAAGTCCGTCTCCCCGAGGAAGCGCACCACACCGGCCTCCATGCCTCCCACCTGCAGGAGGGATGGAGGGACGTGGGTCAGGCACCCTGGACTGCGCACAGCGCCCCCACCCCCGCAAAGGAACATTCTGGCTTCAGAGTCGGGATTTCCTGAAGAAACCCCAAAGGTCAAAGTGCCATTTCCCCCCGCAACCCCTACAGGGTGAGCAGACGCTGCTGCTCAGTGTCCATGCAAGGCAGCGGCATTCACACCCACTCGCTGTCACCGGTGGCCTGGCTGACCACACCCCCGGGAATCTCTGACCCAGGCCAGCCACCTGGTGTGGCGAGGGGGTCGCTGCCCCGTAGGTGTGGGAGCGGAGCACTGGCAACCCCACCGCTGGAGAACAATTAAGCCAGAAACCAGCTAAAGGAAAATGACTGTTCTCGTATCTTAGCAGAGTTCGATCTTCCAGTTCTCCTTCACTATGCCTTGGCTTGACGCTTGGCTCCCGGGACACAGAGCAAAACAGAATCACAGCGCTGGACACTGACAGGAATGCTGACAAACAGGGCTGGAGCACCGGGGGAAGGGTGCTTTGTGTGCGACCACCCTGTGACGCCCCAAGCAAAACCATCGAAAACCAGAGAAATAGAACCGATTTCCAACTTTGTTCATTGGTTTGTTTTTGAGTCACATTCAGAGTGCTCAGGGCTTACTCTTGGTTTGGTGCTCACGGATCACTCCGGGATGTGCTTGGGGGACTGTACATGGGACCAAGACTTAAACCCCGGGTCAGAGGCGTGCAAAGCATGACCCCTCCCCACGGCATGACCCCTCCATCCTGTTTTGGCTAAACTGGTAAAACTGGCAGCATCCCCGCACGCATCCATCACGCTGGAAACTGCAGGACCAGGCGTCCCGGCTGCTCGTGCTTCCACCCAAACCGCGAGTCTGGAGGAGCTGATGAACCAGACAGGCGAATGGACAGCCACCCGCGACCGCTGCCCTCGGCACTCACCAACACCTGGTCCCCGAGCTTCAGCTCCCGCTCCCCTTTCTTGAGGGAGCCAGCCTCAGAGAGGTTGGAGATGGACTCGCTGGCCGTCCTGGTCAGGCTGCTGATGTGAGGGGTGGCCGGTGACTCCTTCGCGGGGGACTGGGGCACCTTCGTGGTGCCGGCAAGGGCCAGGGAGGCCGACAGGGGCGGTGTGGCACAGGCGGCAGGCGCTGGCTGCTGGCAGTTGGTCTCATCGTCGGCCTGCAAGCTCCTACTCAGCTTGGACGGCCGGGTGAAGATGCCCTTCAGCGGCTCGCACTGGAAGTAGCGCACACCCGCCACCGAGCCGTCGTTCTTGCCGATGGGCTCGTCCAAGACGATCCCGGCCCACTGACCAGGGGCAAACTGGGTCTCCCCGAGGAACTGGATGAATCCAGGCTTGTTCCCGTTCACCCAGACTCGTTCCCCGACCTGGAAGTCGCCCACAAACTCCTCCTGCATCTCCGAGGAGGGGGCGCTGGGGTTTTTCTCCCCAGGCACGGTCTTCTCAACGGGAGCAGCCGCTGGAACAGCAGAGACGGTCAAAAGGGTCAGAAGGGACAGGAAGGGCCTGTGCAGGTCCAGTTAAAGTGTGGTTGGGGGAGAGGGACACCCAGCAGTGCTCGTGGCTACTCCCAGCCAATGACGGGGGCTGCTTGTGGCGAAGCCTGGCCGGGCCAGCCGTGAAGCGGACGTGCTCACCTACCGCAGCATCCCAGGCCGCAGTCATACTTTGGGCAGCTCAGGGGAAATCTTTGGATACACCCCGTGATACTACGGACCAAGCCAGGTGAAAGCTCGAACCCAGTGTCTTATTTCTGCTGTGTCCACTGGCCCATCTTCTTTTTCTTTTGGGCGGGGAGCAACACAGCCAATGCTCAGGGCCTATTTCTGGTTCTCCGTTCAGGGTTACTCATGGTGAGGTTGAAGGTGGAGAGTCACATGGGGTGCCAGTTGCCCTCCCCACTGTACTGTGGTTTTGGCCGGCAATGAGGCCCTCTAGTCCAGGTGAGTCCACCTCCCTAAGCCTGTCCCCAAGCCCGGGCAAGGGAGCTAGCAGTTAGAAGGGAGCGGGTTGGTTGCCTCAGCTGTCACCGGTTGCCGAGACACTAAACTCACAGAACGTGACACTCGTGTGTGAGAGCTGTCCCCAGAGCCACGGATGTGTCTACAGCTCAGGGAGCCCTTCCCGGGCGAGGACTCGGGATGGGGTTCCCGGGTGGGAATGAGTCTCCGTTGGCCTGGGCTGAGCGCACTTACCGGCCGAGGGTGTCTTCAGGGCCCAGCTCCCATGCTTGAGGATCTTGGTGGGGGCCTTCAGCCCGCTGGGCCTCAGCAGACTCATGGTCAGGCGGTCAGACGCTGCCACGGCCACTAACAGGCCCCGACCATGGAGCCCACTGTGGGGCCTTCTGAGGCACACTCGTTCTCAGGACTAAATATCTGAAGAGCAGAGGAGAGAGTCTGTCTCAGGAGAGCGACCACAGCAGCTTCCGGAGCCCAGAGAGCTGCCAGTCTGGCACTCCCCACCCCGAGTGCGACCCCCAGTCTCCCGCACAGCCCCCTGAGCCCACCAAGTGTCATTCCTGCGCAAAAACTCAATCCAAAACAGACAAACAAACAACTGCCGATTCGGGGCCAGAGAGCAGAGGGGACAGGTACTAGCCCTGTGGGCAGCTGACCCTCGCGCCCTCCCTGCCATCACTCCCACCACCAAACACATTCAGGAGCCAGAAATCATTCCTGAGCATCGCGAGTGTCACTGACCACCTCCCCGTCCAGACACTGACGAGCCGGCAGGCGACTCAGCAGTGATGGCTGGTCTTGTGTGTGCGTGTGTGCGTATGTACATGTGTGAGAGGCCCGGGGTTACACGTAGAAGCTAAGGCAAGCAACAGGCACACTTTTTTCTATGGGCTGAGAACTGCAAGGGAAAAGAGCCCAGCAATACTGCGCCAAAGGGGGGCTGGAGAGCGATAGCACAGTGGGAAGGGCATTTGCCTTGCACGCGATCGACCCAGGTTCGATTCCCAGCATCCCATATGGTCCTCTAAGCACTGCCAGGAGTGATTCCCGAGTGCAGACCCAGGAGTAAACACTGTGCATCACCAGGTGTGACCCAAAAAGAAAAAAAAAATTGTGCCAAAGGGGAGCGAAGGAGTTTTCGGCATTTCCTTCATTCCTTGTGACGCTGCCCAGGTTGGATAACCACAAGCCAGTATTAACTCCATTTCTTAACCCACAGAACTGAGGCAGACAGGTAGATGGGGGAAGCGTCCCCATGGCGATGGAACTCCGAGAAAGTCAACAAAAGCTTCATGTCCACCAAAAGACTACCTGAGTGCACGGGACCCAAGGTCTTGTCAAAATTAACCCACATTATGAGGCCCAGAGCAGGCTGGACCCCCCGAGGGAATAGGAACAAAGGGCAGGAAAGGAATTTCTAAGAGGACCATGGACCACTCAACTCTACCCCCTTGGCAACCACCCTAGCAACGGACTCTAGGTAGCTAGAAACTCCCACCAGGGGCAGCCTGGGGAAATCCCTAGATTAGCCACCTTGAACCAAGGGAGGGCGCTCATGTGTGCCCGAGCCCAGGTACTGCTCTTGCCTATGAGGTCCATCATGTCACGGGCTTCTCCCCTCCTGAGGTGTGGACTTTCAGACCGAATGCAACCTAGCAACATAACATGTTCAGTGGCTTTCCGCACCTCTGGAGAAGCCGCACTCTCTCTCGAGCGTGTTACTCCCTCCCTCCTTCCCCTTCCTAAAGGCCTCCAAATAAAATGTTTCTGCTTCATGCTCATCTCCTGAAATGCTTTTCTGCGAGGAGGACAAAGGCCCGGGGGCCTGAGGAGGTCGATGATCGACTCCCTTTACCTGAAAAGGGCAACCCCTCACTCCGGCCCAAGACCCCGGGAAGGCCTAGTGGGCACCATGGGGCTGGCAGGGCTCATTGCACTCAGCAGTGCCAGCGCTCCAGCCAGTCCCGGGGGAGTGATATCTTCTCCTGTGCTTCTCATCAGCCCCCCATGAGGGCCCACTGACTTCAGAGTCATTCCATATTTCAATAGAGAAGTCCACAAGGGGCAGAGAGGCAGGACAGTGGGGAGGGCACTTGCCTTATATCCAGTTGTCCTGGGCTCGATCTCCGTCAGCACAGGGACGTTAGCCGGCAAGGTCACCCCTGGGCACAGCCAGGTATAGCCACCCCTCCCCACCCCGCCCCCACCCCACCCAAAAATATATATATATATATAACTAGTAAAAAAAACTTAAACTAACTAAAGATTAAAAACTATCATACACTAAAGAACTGTTAGAGAAAAAAGCCGCCCGCACGCGGGCAGAAAGCCCAGAGACTCAGATTCACCTGTGTCACACTGCACTCGCAGCTTCAGTACTGAGCTCTGCCAAACAGGCTCGTGCCAGTCTCGTGGAGAGACTGAAAATGGCAGTTGGAGTCTAGAATTTTCTGAGGTAGAACTAGAATTCAGCAAGGAGGAGGGCATCATGGGCCATTCTTAAAGGGGCAGGCGCCACCCTTCGTGATGTCAGTGTCTGGCTGAGGCTCCGGAGGGCTGCCCTTGCAGACGTCAGCACTACATGGTCAATGAGCCTCTGGTCCCTGCGGGGCCCAGTTCTGGATCCCCGGGCCCTGTGAAAGTGGTTTCAGAAAACTTTTGACAAATGTTTGTCAGTTACAGGTCTCCAACAGAGGTCATTCAGCATCCCCCAAGTGGGACCTGGACCCAGTGACCCTGCCCAGGGCCCTCCTCAGGAGCCGGGCCAGGAAATCTGTGAGCCGGGGGGGGGGGGGGGCGGGCGGGGGGGCAGAGCGACAGGGCAGAGGCCCTGAGTTCGACCCTGACAGCCCTGCTCTCTGTGACCCCAGTGCTGTGAGCAACACCGGCCGCACCGTGGCCAGGGAGTGGCCCAGCCCACTAAGGCCTGAGAGCTGTACAGAGGAGTATGGCCTGGCCTGCTCCGGATGGGAGCACAAGCTGAATGAGTGCGGGTCCCCTCGAGGATGAGTGAGCGGGAACCGGGGAGTGGGGGGGAGGTGGGGAGGGCGGAGTGACCTAACCTGGGGGCTCAGGACGGGACATCAGAAGGTGCTTAGGACTGACTCTGATCCAGTCATGGGAGCTCATCCTGGCAGGACCTGGGTGGGAAGGGACGTACAGGGTGGGGTGGGGTCAGCCACAGGCAAGGCAGGCTCCTTGGCCCTGGGGTACCCTTCCAGGCAAGGATACCTATTTTCTTTCTTTCCTTTTGTTTTTTGGGACACTCGGCAGTGCTCAGGGTTACTCCTGGGTCTGCACTCGGGAATCACTCCTGGCGGTGCTCAGAGGACCTATGGGGTCAGCCATGCAGCAGGCAAGCGCCAAGTCTTCATGTCAAGGTGCCCACGAAACACAGTGTGCAACAAGGGACTCTGCAGAGAACGTCAGGGCCAGCAAACGCTACTTGGAAATCAATCAATTTTGAAAAAACACAAAAAGATGCAAAAGGAGGGGCTGGAATGAGAGCACAGTGGGGAGGGGTTTGCCTTGCTCACGGCTGACCAAGATTCGATCACCAGTCCTGAGCACTGCCAGGAGTAATTCCTGAGTGCCACGTCCGGCGCTGCGGGGCCGAACCAGGGGAAGGCCGTCAGGGTGAAATCAGCACTCGAGTCACACAGGGTTCGTCATTCAGGAGATGGCATGAATGCGTGCGTTTATTCAGAGCATAAGTACAGACTTAAGTATGCTTCCACAGCCCACCCAAAAGAAGGAAAGGGGATGGGACGTGGGAAAGTGGATGGGACAATGAGCAGAGCCATGCACTGTTGGTCAGCCACCTGGTGACCCTTTCGGCATAATGCTATTGGTCAGAACGACCTGCTTTGATATAGCTTTGACATAACTGCAAAGATTGTGCTGTTCCTCATACACCATTTACAAATCATTTACGAGGGTGCATTTTCCCCAAACTGAAACCTCCTGTACTGGGAAGTTGCGCAGCTTTGAGCAGGACAAAGGGGGAATGAAAAATCAAGCATTCTTTTACTTGGTCATTAGGCAACACTGAGCATCACTCAGTGTGACCCAAAAAGCCAAAAAAAAAAAAAGAGAAAAAAACAGCGCAAAAGAAAATGTGTTTGAGCCTCACTGTCTCCCTGAGACTTGAGCACTCAATGCTGTGTGTGAGCCTAGTAGAGTCTCCGGCCTGAACAAGCCCCCATCCCCCCACCCCCATGCTCCTGTGTTTGGACCCTGACCCTAAATCCTGTGATGGGACCACGTGTGTACATGACAAAGACGCTAGCAGGCTCACGCCCTGGAACGTCCCTGCTTCACACAGGCGTGGCACACGGGTCCTGGCCTGCTAGCGGCCGGCAGTGATTCGGCAGGAAGCAGAAGTGTGAGCCTGAACGTGGGTCAAGTCCGTTCCTTCAGCTTGGAGGGGAGGAATGTACAAGAGGGGGTTTTGAGCACTGCCTCACAAGCAGGAGGTCCTGAATCCAAGCCCCCGGGGTCAACCGTGCACCTGGCACAAAGCCGGCACAAACCCGGCAGCTCTGCTGTCCCAGCACCATGCAGGAAGGGGGGTGACCCCAGGGGGAGGGCCACCGAGAGAGGAGGGGGATACCACAGAAAGGAGGAGTGAACACAGGGCAGGAGTTGAGGGCTGCAGGGCCAGGAGCACCGGGCAGAGAGCAGCCCTGGGGAGCAGGAGGACACGCGGGCGCCCTTGTCACTGGCCACTCGAGGCAGTCGCACAAGCCGTGTGCAGACCCACGAGGCTGACAGGACGCCAGGGACGGGGAAAGCCCAGCAAGGATTTTTCTTTAAGTTTTGGGCCTTGGGGCCAGAAGTCTAGTACAGCGGGGAGGGCATTTGCCTTGCACACAACTGACCCGGGTTCAATTCCGGCATCCCATAGGGACCCCCGAGCACCTCCAGGAGTAAGTCCTGAGTGCAGAGCCAAGAGTGACCCCGGAGCACGTCCAGGTGTGACCCAAAAACAAAACTACAGCAGAGCAAGCGGAAGGGCACGGAAGCTCCGAGCCACGGAAACACCGAGGTTGGTGCCCACTCGCCCCCGCCCCCCGCCAGGTAAGGCCTGCCTGCGATCAAGGTGCCCGAGTGTCTCCAGACAGGATCTGCCTCAGCGGCTCGGTGCGTTATCTCAGCCTATCACCCAGCTCGACTGGGATTGACTCTGGTTATCTCCTTGACTGGTTATCTTGGCATCTCAGGGGCCAGCCGCCAATCTCCGTCCTCCCACCTGGCCAGGGCGGGATCAGGTGTCAGCAGCTGGGCCCTGAACACCCCACCTGCCCGTCCAAACACAAC